GCTTTTTTAAACCAATTTCATGTGTTTACCATCTATTGAAACTGGATCGAAATCCCTTGGAACTGAAGAGAAACCAATTCGCAGCTCTTTGCATTTGTCTGTGTTTAGTATAAGTCTGTTTTTCTTCGACCACCCTATTACTCGGTTCGTGGTATTTTGAGCTCCACTGGGGTGACCTTTCTTTACAACTTCTGAGGCCGTCGTATCGTCGACAAATTTCCATAGGGAGGCGTTGGTGATCGCTAAATCGTCTATCATAGTCAAGAAAAGCCAGGGACCTAATTTGGTACCTTGCGGGACACCAGATGGAACAGAGCCCCACTCCGATACGCACCCATCAGACATCTTAACTCTCTGACAACGGTCTGACAGGAAATCAGTTATCCAGTTGATGACGCTCGGTACTATGTCAAGTTGGCATAACTTATTGACGAGTATACCATGGTCAATCAAGTCAAATGCCTTCTTATAATGGAACATAAGTACCCTTGCTGTTGAGCCAGTCCCATCAGTCCCTTTAGACCATTCATGGAGCATCTCTAATAAGGCAAAGGTTGTTGAAGACTTTGGTATTGCGCCAAACTGGGCAGGATCCAATTGACTCAACACAGCTGGTTTCAAATGTTGGGTGACAATAAAGTCCTCTGCGACTTTACATATACTTGGTGTTAGGGAAATTGGTCTCAGATCTTTCTTAATGTCCTTTATTGGTTTATTTTTCGGTAATGGAGTAATGTCTGCGCATTTCCATGATCTCGGTAGCTTTTGTTCTTTAAAGGAGGCATTTAGGATGGTTGACACAGGGTAGGCTAGAGACTGCATACTCCTTAATAATCCAATTCGGAATGCCATCGGGTCCACCTGCTTTCGCTGCATTAAGAATTTTGTACTGGAGAACGAGGCCAGTAGGGCTAATTTAACTTTAAACAAAAGAATATTAATCCGGCAGCCATTTATAAAAGTGGTCTATATCACAGAGTTCCATATATTTTACAAATATTCTTTTTATTCCTCCTTTATAAAATTAAAAATCATTTTAGAAATCAAACTCCACCCTTACCCCATCTCATACTTCAAAACTTTTTAAAAATAACCTCATTAAAAAACTCACAGAAAAAGAGTTGACGCTGCCATATTCTCCTTAAATAACATCTATAATTCAAAACCCCTGACATAGTGTTTTATCGCATCCCCTACAACCACCTATCAAGAAGGAAAATAGAAATAAAGACCATTTCCTTTCTACCTATATCCTTTCCCTTCCTTTAGCCACCTGTCCATAACAAAAATATAAATGGAGATTGCTTTCCTTCTATCAATAATCCTTTTCCCTTCCTACCTTACTACAATCCAACAAAAAAGACCCCATACCCTTAACCCTAAGCTAACCATTAGACGCCATCCTATGTTAATATCCTTACCTTCGGGAGGGTTGAAAAGAAAAATTCATAAAAAATTCCAGTTTTATTTTTAGAACTTGAAATTTGATACAGGTAAAGTAGGGACATTCCTCTTTATATTTACGTAATTACATACTATTTCATTTAAAATTTAGGAAGATATAGGATCACAAAGTTAGGAAGGTAACCACATTATCATTGAACTAGAAAGAGACTAAAATTCATTCCCTTTCAATAAAATAAAGTAACCCAATGTTTTTCATGATTCCCCCGCGAATGGTACTATTCCCTCCGTATTCCCTCTGGTTTTTAAAACTATTTACATGTTTTCCACCACTTTCCTCATTACATATGCAACCTTCCTTCCATCCCCAAATCCTCATTAACAAAATGGTTACCTTTTTTTCTGAAGCTTATAACTTCCCCAAAATAGAATGTTAAGACATGAAATTTATACACAATATAGCCAATTTCATACGGTTTAAGCCGCTTGAATTTCTTGTGATTTCATTAAATATTTTTCATTTTATTAATATTGATCTTTCAACTTTCAGAAAATGAGACGTGAAGATCATGACAAATGTCCAATTATTTTGCCAACATTTTATCAAACTACATCAACTTATATACCATAATAAAGATCTAAATAAGGGGAACACATTGGTGTATTTATATTCTCTAAAGGTTCTAATCCACATGTGCTGGAGACGCTAGGAGATTTAAAGGTTTAGGTAGTTACCCACTAACCCTGATGCCAAAAAAATTCATTAAGAAATTAGGTTTTAAGTAAAGAAGCCGCACTTCCACGTATGTATAGACATGATTACTTACTATATTTGTACAAGGTTTCATATCATTTACAATGATGCCAAAAAAAATTCATAAAAAAATTAGGTTTTAAGTAAAGAAGCCGCACTTTCACGTATGTGTAGACATGGTAACTTATTATATTTGTACAAGGTTTCATATCATTTGATTAAAAAGTGTACAAATTATCGCAGTTAGGGCTAAATTTAGGGTAACCACATTAACATCTTTGGGGAATCAAAAATATCTCAAAGAAGCCCAAATTTGGTGTGTACATAGTTTGCACCATTCCCTATTCAGTGATTTTAACTAACGTCCATTCCCTCTAATTTTAGAAATCTGACGCAAAGAAAAAATACCTTGGTATAAGTATAGACCCTACACAAGGCTTCCCACGAAACTCAACCTTGAAACTGGGGCTAGATCGCAAAACTGCTAAAACCTTTATTCTTGCGAGTTGAGAGCTGAAATTTTCAGAGGATGTTTATGGCGTACTTTCTATCACATGCACCAAGTTTCAAGTCATTTCAATTAATATTGTGGACTTTTTAGCCCTTTTTCGTCAAATTTGCATATTTTGAGAAAGTGAGGGTTAGGGCTTAAGGGCTTTTCGCGTTTTTTTAAGCACCATCTCATTGAATGTAGACAAGTTATGCAGCGTTGGAAAGGTCGTGTTAAGGAGTACAACTTGATGTATTCAAAAGTATTGAAATAATTACTGCGCATGCGCTGGAGACCGTAAAAGCTCAAAAAACAGGGGTTTTTTTTAGCCTTTTTTTTGCAGGGCTAACAAACCTTAAAAATCTAACGAAATTGACAGGAAATGATATACGCATGATTGTCCATTTCCTTAACAATGGTTTGCTGTAATTGGCATAGAAAAGGCTCGATTTGAGATGTTTTTATGATTTTTCTTGTAACACGAGTCTCATATGTACGCTATACGGACCTATGTTTTTACCTTTAAAAATTCGTAAAAAATACACTTTTTATCGGTTTTTCGTTAAACTTACACCAATGTAATAACAATTGAAAGTACTTTTGATTAAAATTAAGAAAAGGATTGATTTTTCCAACCCTTTTCGTCTTCTTTTACACGCCATAAATCTTAAGCGTTTCTATCCATTCACCTAATACTTACACATACAATGGAACAGTTTCCGTACTTAATTCCTGCTAAGTTTGAAGGCCGGAACAATGAGGGTTTCTGAGCAACAGCAGATTTAATGGGTGCCTGTCCATTTCACGATTACGCAATTTTCGCCTAACTCCTGACGTTTGAAAAATTCTAAAAAATTAACAGAACATTGACTGTACCTTATTTGACCAGCATAAAATAGAACATAAGAGGGCGTTATCTACCATGTTAAATTTTGTTTAAAATTTTAATATTAAATATTTGCTGTGATTGACAGAAGTCAACCCTAATTGACAGGTAGCAATCAACATAATTTGCATAAATTAAGAACACCATTAGAAAGACAGATGTCTCATCTCTTATGCCTGTAGGTTTGAAGTTATTCAACCATAAGGTTATTGAGTTACAGTAGAATGAATGAATGCTACCCCTTGGCCAAAAAATCCAAGATGACGGACATCAAATGGGATGCCCTCATGGGTACTGCTCTAACTCCTCAACCTGTGATGCTCTTCACTTGCAATTTATGAGAGTACTACATAAGGTATAGAACTAGTCACATACCAAATATGAATATATTTCTTCGAGAGACAATGGAGTTAGGTTAGTTTGAAGATTGACTAGCAAAACTTCAAAAATGGGCTAAGGGGCAAAAGTGAGAAAAACTCAGTCTTAAGGTCTCGAGACCACTCAAAAAGCGCTAGAAGTTGTTGGGGATCATTGAGCCTATTCTCTTCTTTCACATCCCCATAATCCCTTGCGCCTTGGGGGGTAACCAGTCTGACAACAAAGCTAAGGACGCCATATCTGTTTGCAAAACTCTTATATATCATCGTAATTTACATGGGAAAAAACGACTTTTGCTGTGCTCCAAGCTGCTCAAATAATCGGAAAAGAAACCCAAATCTCAAGTTTTACAGAATTCCGAAAGAATCTAAGCGAAGAAATGCTTGGTTAAATAGAATTCGCCGACAAGATTTTTCACCAACAGACAACACTCGATTGTGCTCAGCTCACTTCGTCGGAGGAGAAAAGTCCGATGATCCTGCACATTCGGCTTACAATCCATCCATATTTGAGTTCAAGAAGGAAATTGAAAGTCGAAAGACCAGAACAAGTCAAAAAACAAACAAAGATGACTTCGTTGCAATTGAAACTCTAAAACCAAAGCGCAAACGAGTCAGTGTAAGTACTTCACGATGACTTTGATAAGTGTTTTTTGTTTGAGTTTTTATACTTGAAACACTATTTCCAACATATCTTTTTATCATTTTCTCAGGTATCGGGGGAAAGTAGGGGTCGCCCAAGAAAATCATTCAAATCTGTTGATGATCATGAAATATGGGGAGCTTGTTTACCAATAGAACACCCATTGAAAGAGCATGACTACTGCAAGTCGCAGGTGGATCCCAAGTCAAGAGAATTAAGCGATGACATTTTGCAAGAGCTCACTTCTTTGCAGAGCAAAGTGAGCGAACTTGAGCACGAAAATCAAAAGCTACGTGCAAAATGTCTTTTATTGGATCAAATTAAGCTAGACAATGACAAATTTCATTTTTGGACTAGTCTCCCTAACTATGACACCTTCAAAGCATTATTTAACTATTTAAATGCTGTTGGTGTAGACAAAAAAAAAATGTTGGAGAGGATCTGAAATGGCTTTACGTGACTGTCAGTTAGGAAACAAACCAGGGCCATCATCCAAGCTGCCATTGGAGGAGGAGTTGTTCATGGTCGCTGTTAGATTAAGAGTAGGACTTACACTGCCAGATCTGGCATTGAGATTTGGAATCAGTGAAGCAAGTGTCAGCAAAAATTTTTCTGCATGGATTAATCTGCTGTATTTCCACTTAAAAGATCTCTGCCAAATGCCTGACTATGAGGAATGTGGAAAGGCAAATCAGTTCTCATCATTCCCTGACCTCAAAGTTATTGTGGATTGCACTGAAATCTTTACCCAGAAACCCTCCTCATTAAAGGCCTGCAAAGAAGTATACTCAAATTACAAGAGTCATACAACCTTTAAGTTTCTAGTGGCAATAAATGCACATGGAGCAATTGTTTATGTGTCTCGAGCATGGGGAGGCAGGACATCAGACAAACACATCACAGCAAGCAGTGCAGAATTTATTGCTACCCTAAAGGCAGGGGATGAATTAATGGCTGACAGAGGATTTGATATCAATGAAGCAATGGAAGAAAAAGGAGTGAAGGTTACTATTCCAGATTTTAAAGGAACAGGCAGATCACAACTAAAAAAACACGAGGGAAAGCGCTCAGAGAAGATTGCAGAGGCAAGAATACACGTTGAGAGAGCTATCCAACGAATCAAAACTTTTCAGATCCTGTGTAAACCAATTCCACTCTCAATGGCTCATTTAGCTGAACAAATTTTTACTGTGTGTGCATATCTGGTTAACTTTCAAGCACCTATCTTAAGACAGTAAGAGGAAAGTACCTGATTCATTACAAACAATATCTGTATACAAAACGGGCAGTTTTTCAGCTGTAATTTGAACATTAACATTTTTCAAATTTAAGGAACAATCTCTGGCTAAAATGACGAAGACTTCAAATTTCAACCCTGTTTCATCCTGGCTGTGGCCCCTCAATATTTTCACAATTAACATTTTTATAATCAACATATTTTGATAGTCCTA